AAGTTAAAGGTAACCGTTACCGTTACGTCGTACGTACGTCGTCTAACTACTTTCGTTTGTTGTAGTTACGTATAGTATCTACTACTTCTACTCTCTCTCTCTCTCTCTCTCTCTCTCTCTCTCTCTCTCTCTCTCATTTTTCTTTTTTTTTTCTATAGCTTATAGTATTTTCTAAATTATCCTCTTGCTTGTGTGGTCTGAAAATGCTCTTCCTGTGGTTACAGGAGCGCCTAAAGAAACTGAAGTCAGTGCATGGGAAGGTTCACGTTGAGAATGTCACAGTGGACATGGTAAAGGGCAGTCCATACTCCTATATTTCAAGACAAAAGGGATAAAAAACAGTGATGAAACATCTGCATAATATGTGCTGATTCAGTGGTTCTCCAGAAACTTGGACTTTCATATTAATGGATGGATCAGTCATTTTTCTGAATGATTATTTTACCTATGTCCGTTTATACTAAAATCCCTTATTTGCCTGGTAAACATATGGTCGAGGGGGGGGGGGGGAAGGGGGGAATAGTCATTAGAACAGACTAATCTGGTAGTATCTTGAAATTCCAAGATTCTAAAGCACCCCTGCTATTTATGCAGCAGTTCCAGGTGATGATTTCCCTGCCCCATCCTCCCCCACTCAAAAAACCTGCCAAACCATCGACACCCCTTCCCCAATCCATCCCCCCCCTCCCCCCTTACCCCCCCAAAAAAAAAAAAAGAAAAGAAAAAAAAGGTTCACTTTAACTGCAGGCACCCTTAAAAATAGAAAGTGATCATGGAGTTTATCTCCTTTATTATATAGGTCATTGGTGGAATGAGAGGAATGACAGGGCTGCTATGGGAAGCATCATCGCTTGATCCAGATGAGGTATATCAATCTTTACCTGAATTTATCAATTAATATTGATATCCATATGAAGAAGTCTAGTCTAATCAAATGGGCCATGGACATCTTACTCCATTGGGGTCATCAGCATCCAATGAGATGATTGATGGAGATGGAGATAAAGTGGGACTCACAAGAACATGACAAGACCCCAATGGTGGGTCCAACTCTCCTCTATCACTGGACATCAGTTCAACAGATGGTTGTAGACCCAATGGATTATGGTTTTTCATTTCCTATTGACTCTGATGGACCGTGGTTTTTCCTAGTATATACTTCACTGTTGCAAATCATTGTGGAATCTTCTTGCTGTTATGAGCTTATGATTGGTAGTGGTTCTTGTAGAATTCTTGTCCCATTGCTCAGTTAATTTTTTTCTTCTGATTACGTAGGAAATTGGGTTCTTTGTCTGAATGAAATACTGAAATTTGGTGGCTTGTTCTTAGGGAATTCGCTTTAGGGGCCTCTCCGTACCTGAATGTCAGAAGGTGCTTCCTGCTGCAACAACGGGGGGCGAACCATTGCCTGAGGGCATGCTATGGCTCCTTTTGACTGGGAAGGTAGTTATTAGTAGGTTGTTATTTGTTCTTGATATCATCCTTTAGTTACTTTGCGCTCTTGAATGTTTTGTTTTGATATCATCCTTTAGTTACTTTGCGCTCTTGAATGTTTTGTTTTGTGCTGATTCTGTGATGCTGGAATTTCACAATTTGCCTGGTAAATGAATGCATTATGTTCAGCGAAATTAGGTTGTCATGGCTTGATTACTACGACTATAAATTCTCCAAATGATTTGATGATAGAGGGCTGTGATGATATCACTAAATATGCTCAAGATTCATCCTACCTTTATTTTCTATCCGTTACTTTACATAAAATTTGTGCTCAAACTTAAGACAATGCTTTGTGAGCATCTTTATTTTTCACAATTGTTCGGAGATAAATATCTCTATTTATTGAGATATTCGAATGTTTCTTCAACTTTCAGCATTTTAAGTGATTATCTTTTACATATTAGGTACCAAGCATGGAGCAGGTTGACGCTTTGTCAAAAGACTTGCGACGTCGTGCCAAGATGATTCCTGGTAATGTTTGTATTTTTTGCTCTTATATTTAAAAGTTTTGTAGTTATACCATTCTAATAATTAAGATTATATGCATGTTTTTCTTTATATTATTTGTTCACCATTATTATGTACAATTACTCGTTTAATAATATTCAGTTTTGTATTGGAAAATTCGGACTTCGAGTTTATACTTACTTGGAAGTCGTTTATGTCTTTCTTAATTTTTACAACTTGGTGTAAGCTCATTTTAATGGGCATTGGCATTTTTGGCTGCAGATCATGTTTATAAGACCATTGCTTCTCTCCCTAAAACAGCACATCCAATGACACAGTTTACAACAGGAGTTATGGCACTTCAGGTTGTTCGTAAAACTAACCTGTGAATTGATTTTCGTATTTTATATTTGAGATTGTGCCTGTGAGTATTAGCACGACTATGCATCCACTTTCACATTCAGACATGTGTTCTAGCATGTGGGCTTCTATAATGGGGGTAATATGCCTTAAAAACAAATAATGGTAGTCTTCCTACTTAGTCGTCATTTGATCATCTATTGTTATATGTATGCTATTGGGCGCACATCCCTTTATATTACTTGTACTTTTCTAAATTATGCATGGGCCAGCGAGTTTACTACAGTTGCTTGACTTCACCCCAAGAGCATAGTAGGTCTCATTCTTTGGCTCATTGCTGTCAATTACAACTGTAGGAAACTCAAGTGCTGACATTTTATATGAACCTTCTAATTTGCTTTTTCTTCTTCTTCTTTTTTTTTTTTTAAGTCTACTATTTTTAGTATTATATTATTCAAAACTCAATAATTTTTTTGAAATTGCTTCTTTTTCCAAAGCTCTAATCCTTAAATACATTTCATATTTATCTATTTTATATTTCTTTGCACAAATTGGTCACCTCATGTCTTGATTCAGAGTCCCCGTGCTAAAATTCATCATAGAACAAGAACTAAATTTTATTTTTGAAATATGGTTTGAAGTTGAAAATTGAGATTTAGTCTTAGCGAGCTCATCTTGATCACTTTTTATCTCTTTAAAGTTAACCATAAACACTGCCCCAATTAACATCACCAGTGTTAATAAGTGGCCAACTCAAGTTTTCTGTGGAGGTGAATTGGGGTTAATCTGTTTCTATTTTTTATTTTTATTAAATTATCTACTTCTTTTCTTGTCTCATAGTTAGAGTCTAAACTAAAGGCCTTTACAGATTCTCGTACAAGTTGATTCCCTGTCAAAGAATATTGCCTGAGGTGGTTCTTGGTGCTTTATTTATTTTGATGTTTCCATCTCTATCCAAAGTTCTCTATCAACATACTTGATGGATGTCCAAATGGTGATACTTTGGAATGTGTTGATTGACTTAAAGTTTTTTGCTCTTTGAGTATTGTGATCATCCTAACACTTGGCCGTGATGAGATCTGAGAATTATATGTCTCCATTCTATCAAAAGAGGGGTTGTGGGGGGGGGGGAGAAGAATTACAGTGTCCCCATATCTTTCAAGTTCTGTTTCCCTGAATGGAAATCATACATTAGAATTATTGGATTTGCTTACTATGAAACCATCTGTAACAGTGCTCCACACTGTTTATCTTGTTTTTGCATTGTTTTAGGTTCAAAGTGAATTTCAAAAGGCATATGAGAAAGGAATTCCGAAATCTAGGTAGGTTCTCAAGAGGTAAAGTTGTCATGTTTGTTGTGGGCTTGTGGCGTATGCTTTTGTAGTTTTTCATCGTTTGACTATATTTTAGGTTTTGGGAGCCAACATACGAGGATGCACTAAATTTGATTGCCCAAGTACCAGTTATAGCCGCTTTCATCTATCGAAGGTTATATTTTCAACTTTTTGGGTTTTATTGCATGCATCTTTTGAAATCCCTGTATCCATTTTGTACTAGCATTGGGACATAAATATTTCAATTGCTTTACTTAACATCTTTGTATTAAAGTGGTACATTCAAGACCTCGATGGCTCCCAGATGAGAATGATTTAGATAAATTCTGATGCTCCATCTAATTATTTAGTTGTTTGCCACTCACTTGAAGAAAATTTCACTTGGATCTAAACTTAGTGAACTTAGCGGAGTGAAGCACAGTAAGAAGTTTGTCTTGTGGATGGTCTTTGTGTTCAAATCCTCGGCTTGCTTTACTAGAAGCAAAGGAACAATTAAAAGGGCTAAGAGAAAACAGAGCATATTTTTATACCAATGAAAAGACTATTTTGTTATATGGAAGGTGTGCAAGGGAAACTGCTTGTCCTTTCATTTGACAAGGTCGATTGCTTCTTGAGTGCTTTTATTGAACTTGTAGCTGACACAATGTCTAATCAACTTTCTCTTAGATTTGCATTATGGATGTTGTGGGCTGAACATAATTCTAAATGTTTCTGCATTATTGTGTTAGGTTAATAAAGTTGGCTGTTCAGACGGTCATCTGTAATTGCGTTCAGCATATGTCTCCTATCCCTAATGCAATTTTTTTAAAAAAATTTGCGTTCCATTTTGAAATCATTGTGGCTTTGCATTGAATGAATCCAGAGTCTTTTACGCTGGTAGTTTGTTCATATTCATCTGGTCCCTTCCCTGAGAGTTGTCCTTTGTTTACAGAAAGGCTGTCTATTGTCTATCTGCTGGGAATTGTTCAGAGAGAGAGAAGCTATTCTATTTTGAAAGACATTGAGGATTTGGTATGGGAAAATGAGATTAGTGGAGCATATTAACATGAGGGTTATCTGTTGGGCTACAATCAGGTAGAAAGTTTAGGGGGGTGTGGCTAATCAAAGTGGGCATAGAACAGTTGTACGTAGTGATATCCCACAAAATAGACAATGGGACGTGCATAAGCCAAGAGTAAGTAAGAATATATGGGAACTATTGTTATCTAAGGCCCAGTAGGACAGACAATTTATTTGTCAATATCCTTGTTTTTTCCATTGCCATTAATGAATGGTGACTTTCCTTGTATGAATTGCTTCTGCTATTCATGAGTAAGGGCATTTTTCTTTTGTTGATATGTTAATGCTTAGAATTGAAACTCTTGACGTCACGTTGCTTCGCCGCCCTGACCACCGTGCCAAGAGCCCCTTTCCTACAAGGGCCATTTATTTCTGCACTTATTTGAAAACTCCTGAAAATGATCTCCCACCTATGTGGAAAAGCACAGAAATGCCCACAACCACATTCATTAATAGAAGAAATATGGGAGCATCCAAACAGGGCAAAGCCTTTCAGTTATTGAAGCTGGAGGTCTTCTTTATTGTCTGTGGATATCGTCATCATCCTTCTTTTTATCTTCTGGTTGTCATCATGTTTCCAAATCTTTCTATTCCTGATGTATTTCTTTTCTAGCACGGCTTATGTTTCAAATATACATTTGATGATTATGCTTTAATAACTAATAGTATTCTCTTGGCATGCATTTTTCAAGTACAAGTTGGCATGTCTTTTTTCACCATCTTTGATGCGGCAATGTTAATCATGTATCGGCTGTAGTTCTTTGAAATCCCTTTGTTGTTGCAGAAAAGCACAATTAATTTGTATTTTTTCTCTTGCATTGAAGATCTTGTTCATCCGAACAAAAATTTACAAAAGCATGCTATTTATGTTCAGATGTATCCGTCTTCTTTCTTTTTTATCCATAATTATTAAATTGCATTCCATAGCTCTTGCAAAGTGCCTCATTTACGTGCCGAATTTTAACTGAAAATATTTAAATTTCTTTTGAAATTTGAAGGATCTACAAGAATGGGGAAAACATTCCTGCAGATGATGCCCTGGACTATGGAGCAAATTTTGCGCACTTGCTTGGTTTTGATAGCCCTGAAATGCATGAGTTGATGCGACTATATATTACATTACACACGTGGGTGCTTTCTTAGAAATTTACAGATAAATTTTATAGTCATATGGTGCAGATTGTCTTACCCATTTCTTTTTATTTTTATCTTTTCCCGAATATTTATTGGATTTATTACATGGGCAAAGCCTTACTTAAAACAGACATTGGCCCCCTATGTTCAATTTTGCAGTGACCATGAAGGTGGAAATGTCAGTGCTCACACTGCTCATCTGGTAATTAATCCTGATAATCAAAATGGTTTTCTTTGGTCAAATCTTCTGCTCCTCTTGTGCAGTGCTATTATTCTCATCTCTATGATGTGGAGTACAGAGTACACAGTCTAACATGATCTCTCTCTCTCTCTCCTCTTCCTCTCTCTNTCTCTCTCTCTNTCTCTCTCGCGT